GGCTCCTCAGGAAACCTGTCTGGGGGGTGAAGGTGTCAACATCGGGGTCGGGGGCGCCCGGGCAGCGGTGGGAAACCTTCGTTCCTGAAGCTGGAGGGGCCTGGGCAGGCCTCGGGGAGCTCCCGGGGAGGAGGCCAGCCTCTAACCCCGGCCTTCACGGTAGCACGGCCCTCAGCTGGGGGATGCTTGTGCTTCTCTGCAGCTTTCGTACCTTTTAAGCATCTTCCCTACATTTAAATGTGTTTTTTTCATCTCGATGAGAGCTGTATGTTTCTATGTTGGTGATTAGGTGTTTTACAGAGGTGAGAGGGCTACTCCTTGGGGAGCCAAGGTGGCTTTCCCTGTTAAGAGATGGAAATTCTGGTTACAAAGATCCTCACATTTACTAATTTTTCCTGCTTCAGGCATTTCTTTATTTCTTTTTCTTTTTTAAACAAAGCAGCACTGTATTATGGTCCTAACTTCTGACAGTTTTGCGAGGAGTAGGTTGTTGCAGCTCACTCTAATGATGATAACCATGAAGGCGAGGGTGTGGTGGAAAGTTCAAGAGGGGAAGTTGGTGCAGTGGCCAGTTTTTCTATTGGTTTCACAGTTGTCCTGAGGCCAAACTAAGACTTAATGTTCTTTCTGCTGTGCTCCTTGGGATCACGCAGAGATGTTTCATGCTCACATGAGCAAGGCCAGGCCTGGAGGTTGTCTAATGCACGAGCTGGCTCAGAAAACCTCTCCACATCTCGCTGGTGGGAGCTCATTGCGTGTGAGCTTGGTGATGGTTTGGTGGCACACGGGGTGACCTCGTGTTCCTGAGGCTGGCTAACACCACAGAGCTGGAGGGGCTGCAGGGGCTCGCAGTGCCCTGCTGATGCCTCATGCAGAAAAGACTTGCTGCGACAGCAAATGCTATGGTGATTGTTGTGCATTGGGTGGCTGGAGAGGTGTTGGGGAAACATGCTGTCAATGCTTTCTCTGTTTAATTTGGTATGTTCTTTGGAAACAGGAAAGAATCGGAGGCTGAAGCAGGCCAAAGAAGAAGCCCAGGCAGAGATTGAGCAGTACCGCCTGCAGAGGGAGAAGGAGTTCAAAGCCAAGGAAGCAGCGGTTTGTTTTCTAGATCACTCACTGTTACCTACCCATCCCTTTAGCCCTGTGTTTGGGGTTACTTGCCCTGAGAGCAGCTCTCCCGGTGGAGCATGTCGCTTGCAGAGTACTTCCCTAACTGCCTTCCTCTGATGCACAGCCACGTGTCACGGAAAAACCAGTTGGAGTGAGTCAGAACATGGTGTATAGTGTCTCAACAGCCAGAAGTATTGACTGGCTCAATAAGCTCATGTGTTGGCTGGTGCCCTGATGGGTCACAGCCTTCCAAAACTGCTGTATGTAGCGGTGTCAAAAAAGACGAAGCTCATTCCTCGTGTGACAGGCTGGTTTCTACAATGCTAATGTGGTAGAGACTGCTTGCCTCATAGATGCTGCTGTCTTGCGGAAGCAGTTGTAAGGCTTGTATTCTGCTTGGCAGTCTTGCCCCCTGTGTCCTGAGGGGTGTGCTTCCTTTTCCTTCTGAACAAGAGAAGGTATTCCCAAAAGTTGCAGAATTGAGGCCCTTCACCAGCCGAGGTTGTTTCCATTGCCTGTGTGCCCCTGTCAGTTCTGAAAACTGCAGAAAATGACTTGGCAACCCTCTCTTCTGTCTGTCATAGCACAATACCACCTCCTCTGTTCTCCTGTGTAATAGCCTTCATGTCAGTCGGTCAAGACTAATTTTTTACAGTTTTAGCCGGTTTCACTAGGTGTATGGTACCAGGCAATTCCAAGCTTCACTACCTGTCAGCTGGTTCTGTTTTATTTTTCCTTCTCCAGAGACAGAAGCTCTCTGAATTAGACCCAGGGTGCTAGTCTCTTCCAGCGTGTTTTTTCTGTGCCTTTTTGTGTCCACTGCCCCCTTGTAATGGGAATTTGCTCTGTCTACCCTTGCTTATGGGGCAAGAAGGGCATTGTAAGCCGTGAGAGACTCCTTGCTGTGTGCATCACGTGGCCCACACTCCTGTCAGGAAAGCAGAGATTGTTACAGAGATTCCTCAAGGGTAGAAGCAATGGGGTGATGTGAAGACTGTGCTTAATCTAAATCATGGGTGTTACTTTTCTTACACGATCTAGTACAGTAGCGTCCAGGGGTTCCCAGTTCCAGTTGCCAGTACAGAAGGACTGTTGTTTCAGGCACTCTTTAGAATCCCGTGCTCTAAAAATGAGTAAGAGAGGATAAAAGGCATGGGCGGTGGGTGAACTACAGACTTGGGCAAGTTTAGTGGGAAATCTGAGCAGAGAATCCAATGGTGGTTTTTTTTAGTGTGATTTTTTTTTTTTTTTCCCTCAGCAAAGACTCATGGTTGAGATGCACTGAGGCAGTCCAGAATAGCAAAACCCAGAGCTAGACATAGCATTTTCTTTGCCAAACTACTTTCATGGGAGCTTTCTCTTTGCTGTTTATAGGCACTGGGATCTCATGGCAGTTGCACCACTGAAGTTGAGAAGGAGACCCAGGAAAAGATGAGCGTCATCCAGCAGAACTTCCAGAAGAACCGTGAGGTGGTCCTCTCCCAGCTGTTGGCACTAGTGTGTGACATCAAACCTGAAATCCACATCAATTACCGCATCAATGGGTAGTGGTGGAAGAAGGAAGGAGCATATTGGAAATGCTGGTAGTAATGTCTGAGCTTCAAGTGGAACATACAGCTCTTAGCCATACCTTAACTGTTCTTCTTGTAAATGTGTTAAATTATTTCAGTGAGTTGTAGCTCATCAGTATCTTGCTGGACTTTTCTTAGTTTCTCTCTTGACACGGATTCAGAGCTTATTCAACCATTAAATGGCCTCATCTCAAGTCTGTGCTAAGTTATTAAGTATATATTCAAGTTGGCACATTAATGCTTCCTTTTTATCTGGGTAGTATTCAGTGAGAGGCTTTCCTCTGAGAAGTAGAAAGGGGAGAGAGATGCTGGCCAGGTTTAAATGAAGAGCCTGTGTCAGTAGCTGTTAGACCTGTGTAATTGTATTCCTGATGACCAAAATGCATCTTTCAGTGTGGTGTTAACCTTTGTACAGGGGTTAAACCTTGTTTGAAGAATTCTCTGACTGTACAGTGCTGGCTCATAATTTTCAAGTGCTTGAGTTTCTCTGTATTGAATTCTCTGTATATTCTGCTGTTAGCTTGAGTTACAAGTCTGGCACTATGACACTTGCAAGTAAAAACACTTATTTAACTCCAAAGTCTCTAGTCAGTCGTCTTGTTCCTGCTAACTCATCCTGAGAGTGCTGAAAGGTCTCACTGTGTTCCACGGGAGTCTGGACTTTGAAAAATGGATATCAAGATGGACTTTGAAAAATGAATATCAAGATAAAGAGTAAGAGATATGGCAAATGTCTGAAGGTCGCAGCAGGTAAGTTAAAAACTCATTACAGAGCTCCTCATCTTGGCTCCAGTCTGATGCTTTACTTGCCAGATCATTCTGAAAAACTTCAGAACAAATGTTCTAGTGACCATTAGGGGAAAGAAGATCTTGCCAGTTCGCTAGAATAGTTTGATAGCCAGGTGCTGTGCAGTAATTATCCTTCCTTTAGTCAAGTACTGGTTGCTGCTTGTTTGTACCAAGGTCGTGCTGTATCCTGCAGCATCTTGCTGTACCTGGAAACAACGTGAAGTAAGTGTGTTGGGGTTGTCTGTGTGCTGCTTTCTAGCTCTTTAATCAAAAGTACATGCGAATACCTCAAGAGGTTTCATGTTTCAGTGGTTTCTTCCTCTCCCTCTCTCACCAGCAGAATATTAAATGTAGCTTTGCTTTTTCTGTTGAGTTCAATTTAAGGCTTTTTGCAGAAGAGCCCTCGATCAGCACGTATCTGATCAGACCCAGGAGTCATGCAGCTGAGGATCTAAGCAAGAAACGTTATTGATGCTGTTCCTCAGCCGGAACATCCTGTATTTCCACAGACCCTCAGCCTAGCATTGAAAAGCCTCTCAGACCTCTGGAGTTTGATTGTGATTGGGAGGGAGGAAAGCAGGATGGATGAAAGTGATAACAAAGGACTGAATATCTGCCTGCAGCCACACAGGGCAATGAGGGAGCAGACTGCTGGGGTGTCTCCTCTTGTAATATTTTATGGTAGCGTACTGTAGTTCTGAAAGGATCTCTTTAGGAATTCAAGCTATTAAACGAGTTGTAAAATTGAAACAAAAGCCTCCTGTGAAGTCAAATACGCCAGGCTGGGGAAAAAGCCAGGTCAGTACAAGGAGAACAGGATCAAAGCAGTTTTAATCAATCTGGTGTAATGATTGGAGAGGTGCTATGGCCTCGTAAAAGGTTGCAGCTATGCTAATTCCAGCCTGTCCTTTGGAGATGAAACATTTCTTCCTGGTGAGAACAGGTGCTCAGATTCAGGCATGATAGTCCTCATAAAAGCCCTCCCAGCTCCAGGCTGTAATTAGCAATTTCATCCCGTTTATCAGTAAAATACTACTGCTGTGTCCAGAAAAAATACAGTGTGCGTCCCACTTTCTCATGTTGGTTCCTAAGTTTCCCTTTGTTAATGAGGACTTTGTGTCCTTCCTCTCTAGAACAGTGAGAGGCAGGAGAAAAAGAAAGAACCCTTCCCTGATGATTTCCTCTTGGCAAAAGGAGATGTGAAGATGCTCCCTTTAGAACACTATGCTGCAAGAATACCAATTTTCTGTAATATTTCCCTGAAACTTAACTGCTTAGAATTACCAGACTCTCTAACTTTGTGCAGAAGTATTTCCAGTTGCTGCTGTTCAGGAAGGCTGGCTTTGTTTGCAGTGTAGATATTTTATTTTCAATTGAGACATCTTACATGGTGATGCTCTGGGAAAGGGAGACCTACTGCTATCCTTGTGCCTAATCCAGGCTGTGCCAGAAAAATACTCTGCAGGGAACAGTTTTCTACTGACAGAGGTACAGAGTTTGACACACAACTTCTTGCCTCTGGAATCTGATTTTCTAGACTACCTGCAGCATGTTTTGATTAGTAAGAGTAAACCTCCCCCGGCTGCTCGTACGCGTCTGTCTCCAAATTCTCCCTGCTGCTGGTCTGCCTCCATAATCCCTTGCAGATGTGGCTCTGTGTGTGAGCCACAGCTTGCTCTTGTACCAGAGAGGGGACTGGAAGCACTGTGGGCACATGTACTGATGTGTGATTCTCTTGATTTGAGCTCTCACCCCTGGGAATACCAGCTGACTGCAAGGACGGTCCGAGTCCTGGTGCTGTATGGAGGTAAGAAGTGGTCAGCGCTCGTGTTTTATTTGTGCAATGTCAAGTGTGTGGCTGTTGATTTCTCCCAGTTAAAACTGCGTGCGGGTGGGCGCTTTCCTGGGGTCAGTGCAGGGGTGTTAGGATCTGCACAGTGCAGTTTGGCTCCAGTCACATCCATGTCAATGAACAACGGTTTGGAATTGATTTTTGTGGAATTTCTTTTCAGACATTCTCTACTTATAGAGTTAATACTTTTTGCTTTTAAAATGCCATTGAGAAGGTGTGTCATCTGTACAAGCACCAGATGGACAAATGGCTTATTAACACCAGAATACAAGTGTCATCTGGACGGCTTAACGTGCAGGACGAGCCCCAGTTGGGACACACATTTGTGCTGCTTGGAGCCGGAGTTCAATTTTTAAGGCATGACGTGTTGACAGAGCTTGTTCCCCACTCAGCTCGTGCTGTTCGCTCTGAAGGTCAGTGTCTCCATCTCACTGTTGCCTGCTTAAGCAAGGAGTGAAAGAGCTCAGCACCCCTCTGGGAGGGGAGAGGAAACCAAAGCCTCCGATCCCAGCCAGGTCCACCACCTCTGCTCTGACTTGATAGTTCTTTATCCAGTTCAGAGCCAGCATGGGTTGGATCCCTTGTGCCGTTGGAGTTAAATCCTAAAGCAGGAGAGAAAGGTCTAGTAAGGAGCAGGAGGGATGAAACGTGTGTGCAGTGTGGCAGCGAGGTCCGGTGACAGCCGGGGTGATGCCGTGAGGGGCTGCAGAAAGCAGCGAAAGGCAGGGCAGTGCCGCGGCTGGAGGGTTCGCCCAGGCAGCAGGATGGCAGGAGAGCGTGCTGCTTGCTGCACTGGGACATGAGAAAAATAATCATTTAATTATTTTTATAGCAGCATTTTGTGTGATATTTAACTTGTAATTTTTTTTTTGTTTGCTTCAGAGGAAGTAATTTTCCCCTCTGACAATCCCCCTGCCCTTTTCCCTTCCTCCCTTTCCAGGGTCCAAACAGAGATCGAGGATGGGAAATAAACCACCTACAACCCACATCTGGAGTCCAGGGGTTTGAGAGAGCTTTCATTAAGAGGGGAGCAATTTTGACTGCCAGTGCTTTATCAGAAAGTCTCCCAGCAGCTCAATTTGTACTGTTTCAGAAGCACAGGAGAGGACCCTCAATTTTCCCAGTGCTGTGTCTGCTGAAGGTCGAGGAACCATTCCCCGTCCTGCCCTGCGGTGCCAGGCTGGCTGCTAGATGCAACATAAATGAATCGTTCAGGGTATTCCTGTGTGTAAGTCCAGATTTGGCAACCTTAAATTCCTCATTCTGCTTTTGTGAGATCCC